TCCTCCAGCCTCAGCCTCCCAAAGTCCTAGGATACAGGCATAAGCCGCCATGCCTGGCCTGATGCACAGATTTTAAACTTTTATTAAATTTTTTTTTGGGGGTGTGTGTGTATAGACTGGGTCTTGCTACGTAGCCCAAGTTGGTCTTAAACTCTTGGCCTCAAGTGATCCTCCTGCCTTGGCCTCCCAAAGTGTTGGGATTACAGGTATGAGCCACCATGCCTGGCCCCACAATTTTTAAATTAAGTCCAGTTTATCTGTTTTACTTTTGCTGTCCATGCTCTTGGCATCATATCCAAGAAGTCATTATCAAATCCAATTACACAAATCTTACTGTTTTCTTCTGTTTCATAATGGTTTTCCCTTTTAATTTTTGTATATGCTGTTAGGTAAGGGTCCAACTTCATTCTTTTGCATGTGGATATGAGTTTTCCCAACATTTGGGGAAGACTGTCTTTTCCCCATGGACAGATCTTGGCACCCATGTTGAACATCATTTGACCATATATGAGAGGTTATTTCTGGGCTTTTCTATCAGTTTACATGTGTCTTTATGCCAGTACCACACAGTTTTTATTACTGTAGATTTTTAGTGTGGTTTTCCTTTTTAATCTGAAAGATACACACTTTGTCTGGTTTATGTTCAGTTCTTAAACCTCCTTTGAGTGTTCACTGGCGAGATCAGCACTCTCTGTAGTACCCAACTTTAGTCAGGACCCAGGGACAGTTGTGCAATCAGGCACAAGGGAATAGATAACAAGGAAGCAAGTCATCCAACATGGAGCCTGGTTTCTTTAGGGGGAAAAAAAAGCACAGTCACTAGAGTAAAACTGTATGCCTTTATTCAACCAACATGAGTCATTAAAATAGTTTGTCCATGTGCAGAAACATTATACATTCAACTCTAAAGGTAGTTTTTATATGATCAATAAAAGGAACAGTCTAAAAGTGAGAGGAATAAAAGACATAATGAGGAGCTGAAAGGCAGAGTTTTATCTTCAAAGTGCTAAGGCCTATGTGCACAGATTTTAAGTGGTCAAGACTGATATGGGTCGTTTCTTCCACTTTGACTTCTCTTGGTGCTGGTAAAGGGTGTGATACATATAGTGAGTCACAGAATTAAGATGGGTTTTGAAAAAGTGGGTCAAAGCACTTATGGCTAAAAATTTTTAATTTCTAGGGTTTTGTTTCTCACATTCTCTAGATCTTTCATGGATTCTAGAAATTTTGTGAATTCTCCAGGAACAGACTTGCTCTTTAATCAGTGCTTTATCATCAGAAAATAACTTATCATGTCCTTCCCAGCCAGAAATCTATCTCCTTATCTAACAAAAGAGTAACCAAATCTAAGACTCTGGAAGAATCTTATTAATTTAAAACTTGTGCAAAGTGATTACATATAGGTTAAACTGGGGTTACTACTAAAGAAGTCTCTAAACTGCTGTTGCCTGAAAGCCTAAAATGAAAAGAGTTGCTGACTTAGGGTCAAAGCCCAACTCTTATCATTTCCCAACCGTAGGTATTTGAAAACATTAGATTCTGTTTTTTTTAAAGAAATGGCCCAAGACATGTAAAATTTTATGTATCATACTTTCCACAGGAAGAACATAGGTTGTGTGTAAAATAACAGTTGTCAGGTATCTTCAGATACTTCGATAACATTTAATGCACTGCTCTTATTAGGCTAATTTGAATCTTAAATATTTAAATATTTTGAAAGAGGATCCCTGATTAAATTTAATAAAATTGAATGTGGACTCAAGTTGGTCCAATAATACTGTTTAAGAAGCCAACTTCTGTTTTGCTCAAAAAGGTACACAATCTTAAATCCTGAATAGCAGCAGAAAGCTGCCACAGTTCCACAGAAAACTATTCCTTAACCCAATGTCTCAAACTCCATGTTACACTTAATTCAACATGTCAAGCGAACTCAAAACCTTAAAAAAAATACTGAGAAATAGAATAAGCCATGTAATTCAAAGTTTACTTAAATCCACTTAAAATCAAACCCTAGGCTTATCTTTCTCCTCCCCAAGGCATCCTCTAAGTTTTACTGTTAAGATGAGTATCAGGATATGGCTTTTATCTCTTCAGCTTCTTTTGGTTTTGAAGAACCAGAAAAATTCATCTGAAGTTACTCTTCAGAACCGCCTAGCCACAGCCCATCTCCACAGCTGATCATGTCTGGCTCTTTCTCAGGTTTCTTTTGTCCTTCCTGTGATAAAGATCCCCTTCCGCAGATCTCCCTTTTTAGGTTAAGGATGTAAGTCATAAGGAGGTACATATTCCTTAGTGCATACAGTTTCTATGAAAGAAACCTGATCTTCTGTTGAACCAAGTTATTAGGAAAATAGATGATATCCATTCTCCTACTTCCTGGGTAGTTAAGACTATATTACATAGTGGAATACACTGCACACTTTTGACTAAAAGGTGAATATGAATATTTTGGCATACAGAATTTGAGTTGCAAATCCAATAATCCAGATTAAAGACAGTGGTAAGGAAAAGTCAAGACTAAGCACTGGCAAAATACAACAGAACACTAGATTATCCTTTGAAAACGTTTCTATCAGAAACTTCTGAAGAATTAGGATTTAGGCCACTAAAATGAAAAGGGTTGGAGGCCCACTGAAGTCCTTTTTAAGTTCTGTGACTTAAGATACAGGAAAAAAGGCCAATTCTACAATAGAATAGAACACTAAAATATCCATTATGGAGAAAAACAGGGATGCAACAATTCAAAATGAAGGGATACAGTTCTCCTTATTACCTGTAAGATGAAAATGTTTTTAAAAAATTCCCTTTAGCCTCATTTGGGTTTTAACAGTGACAGGAAAGCTGCATCATTTACCCAATTATTACTTGAAAGTTAGTTGAAAAAAATAGACATACTGACCTGAATTAATTGAAAGGGATCTTTTATTAATAGATGTTACTCAGATTTTTTGAAGTTTCTATTCAACTCTAGATAGTCCATTGATAATTCTCAGAAAAGGGTAAATTTTACTCATATGACTACTCACACATTGCGTTTTTTCATTGAATGCCTTCTTTTCCTTCTTCATGTTTAGCCACCGTTTTGCCTGTGCCTCAAACACATCTGTTTCACTCATTTACACTTAAACTTTCCACATTGGGGAACAGGAGCACGCTACTCCTTGAGCACTGAACTAGAACCATGATGTATGGTTTCTATTATAAGACCTTTTGACAACGCACAGGACTGTTTCTGCTTACCCTTGCATGACCAGCACTTTAACATGGCTTAGCACAAAGCAGGTGCTCAATAAACGTTTGGATTTGTGAATGACATGACTTGTCATTTTTATGGACATGATTTGTCCATAAAGTTACAAACATGATGCAAAATCTCTGGCTTCTGAAGACCAGTTGAGATCAAATAGTGTCAAAAGCAATGAACACAGGTTCCTAAAACTCTGTGAAGTAAACAAAGGGTGGCTGGGGATCTGGGCTGAAGTTGCCCTGTGTTCTGGCATATTGTTCTTTGTCATTCAACTGCAGACCAACCATATCTTTAGGTTCCCATGTCATCAATGAATATAAATTTTACTTTCTATGATGTAGGAGGCCCATTTAAATAAAGATGTACTAGAAATGGGGAATCAATCTTTGCAAATGGTCATCAGGAACTAGTTTGCACACTTTTTAGATATTTTACCTTCATTCCTATTCTATATGGAAATTATGAAGACGCAGATAGATGTTCCCTGAGACTCAAATTGTTTCCTTTAGAAATAGGACATTTTCAGCTAAGATCTAGAGTACTGTCTTGGATGGCTGAAGTATCTCCAATGTCTTTGGATAATCCAGAAGTTTGAAATTTCAATATTTGAAAAAGAATATTGTCTTTTATAAAAAGCATTATCCTTAATTTCCAAAATGTGTCAATTTTTAAAATCAGTAAAACCACAGCTGAGCAATTATGGGGAGAACTCACTAGTGAAATACAACAAAAAGTCAGTTTCATGGGTCAAGATATATTCTTGAAAATAGGACCTTAACAATTTTTCTTTCAGGTCACCAATGAATCTTTGTATTATTATTATTTTTTTTCTGAGACAGAGTCTCGCTCTGTTGCCTGGGCTAGAGTGCCATGGCGTCAGCCTAGCTCACAGCAACCTCAAACTCCTGGGCTCAAGCAATCCTTCTGCCTCATCTTTCCGAGTAGCTGGGACTGCAGGCATGCGCCACCATGCCCACCTAATTTTTTCTATTTATTTTTAGTTGTCTATTTTTAGTAAAGACGGGGTCTTGCTCTTGCTCAGGCTGGTCTCGAACTCCTAAGTTCAAATGATCCTCCAGCCTCAGCCTCCCAGAGTGCTAGGATTACAGTGAATCTATGTATTATTCTTTTTAAAGAATGGGCAATATATCTTTATATCTAAAGATCTATGTATCATTTTGCTCCATCACATTATCCTAAAATCAAGTATAGTCGCAAAATAAGTTCTCTTAGATCAGACATCTAAGTATAGAACTGCAGGCAGTTAACCTTTGACACCTGGCTCAGTTCTGATTTCCATAACTGCCCTTCCTGACACCAGGGAGTTCAAAATTCAAGTGTCGAATGCTGAAACAGAACCTAATCAAGGCACAGGTGTTTCTCTTCACATGTTCCTCTTACTCTTCAGCCTCTCCAGATCAGTCAGGACATGACTCTGCCTATGAACCTCACTTCTTGGAGAATTGGGAAACAGAAAAAAAGTTTTCCATTATCTTCAAGAGATTATTTCTTCACATACCCCGAGGGCCTGAAAGGTGGAGGCAGTGAATGTCTGCTAATGAATTATTAACCACTATTGAGAAAGGAAAATCTATTTGTCTCCCCTGAGATATTTCCTTACCATTCTTTAATTTAGAAGCAAACAATGGGCACATTAAGAAAGAGGCTGCACTGTGTTTCTTCACTTTTCCAGTAACATTAAGTGGTAAGGAGCCGGAAGAGATCAACGAGGAAAACATGGAGACAGACAGACTAGGATAATTTAATCATATTTTTACTTAAATTCTAAAAGAAATACACTACCCTGATTTATCGCCAAATCCCTCGTTTCACTCTCCTCCATACAATCCGGGGTGTCTTTCCCATAGTAGATAAGGCAACAACTGAGGGCCCTTCCCCATGCCACGCTCAGATGTGACAGACCTCAAGATTCACCAAAAACTTCAAGGTTTTTATTTTCACTTTTAATGATCTTTTACTTAATAATAAAATGAAAATAAGAATATAGGAATACATACAATCTATATACATATATTTATTGCAAATACTTAAAATTCTTATGTAAAATGATTTTTCTATATTTGTGAAAAAATATGACTTTTTAAATGGTGTTGACACCAACTTCTCTGTACATACCCTCAATTCCAATGTTAACAATTCCTTTAAAAAGGCAAAAGACACAAAAGTTTCGCATTTACCAAACCAGTCTGTACAAACCTTATAGCCTGAAGGGAAAAAAATAGCTTGTGGTAAATAAGTCAATTCTCTTTTAAAATAAAAAATAAACCCCCAAACTATTCCCTTATTGCATTTTTTTTTTTTTTGGAAATAATCTGAGTGTCTTTAGAGTAACTTCCTTGAAATAATTTGTGCCTTAACAGTGAGGTCCTACATTAAACATACCATATATGAGAAATTCAAAGTCTTCCACTGTCACTTTTTACATAGATATTAAAATATATATTACTTAAAATATATTACTGGAAAGCTATTTTTAAAATTGATCTTTAATAGTTGTATCAAATGTAAAGCATTAAAAAAAATAAAGTAACCAAGAATCTATGAAGCTATTGCTTCAACTTTAGGAAATGTTTTACCTACTGTTCTCTTTCAATAGGTATGTAGGTATTGAAACATGGTAGGAAAGGTCCCTGCCTATCATCATGTTTCTCAAAGTCTCTTTGGACTATTCTATAAATTGAGCTGAAAACTACCTTTTGCCAAGTTTTTTACTTAGCGCACTGTTGTAATGCAATGGGGAGGCTTTTCCCTCCTTGCTATGCTGTGAAACCTCTGAGTCAAAGAGAAAACAACCCTAGCCCTGCTCACTGACAGTGAGTTCTAGAAATAAATAGCAATGTAATGACTAGAGAAGAGCCCCCCCCCCATTATAACAAGTCATTTCACCAGAGAGCTCTTTAGGGATCTCTAAGGTGGAGAAAGGCAATAATAAGCAACAGAATGGTTACTGTCAGGTCATTAATCTGTATGACTTTACACCCTCACCTGGAAGGCAGTGAGGTCTTCCTTTGGCTATTTAAATCTGAGATATGATCTAAAACATGTATATTTGTGTGCTTTCACAGCTCATGTAAGTATGCTTCTTCCCCCACGCCAAGAATAATTTCTCACTGGCCAGCACTTAATCTTAAAAATGTTCCATGGAATACCACAGATAGCTCCAGTATCTTGAGCGTAGGGCTAAGGGAACAGAAGCAGGGCAAACAACTACAGGTATTTGGCTTTACTTTCTGTTTAATAGAAAGGGGAATTTTAATTAATGAAAATTCTTTCAGATTCAGTCTTCTCTACTAGACAACTTTGAATATTTATAAATAAGACTGAGATGATATATTATTAATGCTATCTCCTGAGGTGACCTGCAGCAGAGGGGGTTAATCTGAAGGCTAGAGAGGGGTACACCGGAGGCATGTGCATCAGGCATGATGCCTGACTAGTCACTGGAAACGATGTCAGATAATACCCTAAGAATAAGCTTAGCACTTAATAAAACATTTCAGAGTGAACAACTCAAGAGCTAAGTTAAAAGATGGTTTAAAGGTACTGTTGGAGTACCATACTCTAATAATTTAAATGTTTTCTTGTTTCTACTGCTTCATTTTCTAGAAGGCCAGATATTATGTAATTTTTTTCTGTTCAGCTTATAAAATGAATGGTTTTTTACTTGAAACAACTGTTTTGAAACAAACTGAAAAATAGGCTGGTATTCAATTTACTACCAATCTGAGATAATTTAAACCTGTTCTCTCATCTGGTCAAGACTGAGGCAGTATACATAGTTGGTCATTTCTGTTTTACAAGTATTCCTAAATGCAAATATTTAGCTGAGTATTATTTGTGGAGAGAATCTGGTGAACAGCAATACTTAGGACCTATCTGTAAGAGCCTGGGTCAAGATGAAGAGGCACAATATGGTTTGCTTTCTGAATGGACTTGAAAATCCCTGATGCCTTTCCTCCTTTCCTGGTCACAGTCTGTCCATCTGCAGAAACCATGGAGAAAAGCCTTTCTGACAAGAAAGGGCTGCAGCAGAAAAATCACTTTCATCAACCAAAACTGGTAATTGATATTTAGCATGGAGTCAATTCTGAAACATTCAACTTCTTCCAGCATGCAGATAGCCCTCAGCCCTGACACTTAAGGTGGGGAATGGAATGGCTGGACATGGTGTTCCACCTGGCATTAAGTCTTTCTAAACTCACCCCCTGGATTGCCCAAGGTGCTAAACATTTGGAGCACAACCATGATTTCTCTTTCCTATTGGTTCTTGGCTTGAGAACTTACTCTTTATCCCTGGATTCTTGCAGCTTTCTTATCTCTTAGCTGTGTGTGTGCTGGAAGAAAAGGGGGAAGATGGAAGGACATCATATTGTCTTGTCTGAAACTGGAACAGATATTAATCCTTTATTTGCCTTGGGCCACAAAAAAGCCAGAAATGAAAAATGAACAATAGTGAAGTGAATTTCTTATGGTATTTGGGGCAAGGACTGTGGCAAAGCATTAAAAAAAAAAGTGTATGATGTGTGGGGAGGGGACAATAGAATGGGGGCAAAACAGAGATTATTATTGCTTTCTTTCTCCTAATCTAGAATGTGACTTAATGAGTTTAAATTGTTCTGCAATTTGTAGATATCACATCCTGAATATTAAGTACAAAGACAACTGTACTATGTTGCACTAATATTTTTACTTTATACACTTCAATGGGAGACTTGCAATCAATATGCAAATGGACATCCTCAGATTTACTAAACTCTGGTAAATTGTAGATTTATTTTAATGTTCTTTAACCATGACCTAAATATTATATACTCAAAAATTCTTTAGTCACTAGAGAAGGATTTAAAAAACAAAAAAGGAAACAAAAAAAGAAATAAAAACAACAAAACTTTGGAACTAATTTTTCTTCCTTTCCATGCATTCCCTAAGCCATTCACTGAAGCCCCTTTATGTCAGAAATTTCTAGTTGCACAGACTGCAGTAATCCAAAACAGGGGACATATTTTCTAAAACAGAATAAGTGCTGTGTACTGTGTATGTGTGCACACATGTGTGTGCAAAGTGAGATAAGATTATGTCGGCATCCTCAGATGCCTGGGGGGTCCAAACAGGTTGAACAGAATAGGCAAATGTGGCATTAACGAGCTTTTCTATCTGTGACAACAACTGACTATAGAACATTAGGTAATGAGTTGGAGGAGAAGAGGAAAAGAGAGACTACCTTGTTTCTAGTGTTAAAATCGTTCTCCGAAGTTCTTTACTTTCAATTTAACAGTTTTCTGCAGTTTCATTTCCCTTGCCTAAAAATACATAGTTTAAATCACCCCATCACTAACTTTTCTATTCATTTTATGCTAGTATTTCAAAACTGTAAGTTCCCATGAATGACTAAGTATAGGGACTTTTTTTTTTTGCTGGAATTGTTGCCCTGTACAGGCTATAACAACATGAGAGTGGGGGAAAGCAGGGGGACTGGAGAGGCAATCCCTTCACAAACTACATTCACTATGTCAGGACAGGGGTGGGACTAGGGAACAGCAGGGATCCACAAACAACAGAGTACTTGGCCACTGTACTGGTTTACAGAGGCCAAGAACCAAGTCAGAGCTTTCAGAATCTGAAACATTACCTGTGAAATCAATACCTTATTAAATACTTCAACTTAAGAAGCTTCCACCTAAGGTAAAGGGACTGAGTAAACTCTGAATCCAAATCCTGCAAAGGCTGAATAATCTATGAATAACCTGCAGCCAGACTGTCAAGACATAATCAGCATGAATAGTCACTGCTTTAGACGATTCCTTCACTCTTTTCTTTTCCTGACCTCTTAGGAAAGGTCAGAAAACTTCCTTTCACCATGCATGGCATTAAACTTTTCTCAGAGTCACATGAAGTAGAACATAAATCTGAATTCAAAGTAACACATTATTACCTAAACACTTGGAAAAATGTTAAACAAAATGTGACATATTTACATGATTTTTTAAGTGCAAACTTGTCACAAATTCACAAAGTCTTGCTTGACTTAGACTTACTATACAAGGTGCTCTTCCTCTAAAATGTAAAAGATCTGTACTCTGTATTCCTGATTAAGTAACATTTGTCTCTTAAGACAACTGAAACTTACTTGTTTATTTCTGTGATTCCAAAAGGATGCAAAAAACACATCTGATCAACCCATCCCTTCCCCTTCCTTTACAGTGTGTCTCCTTCTAGTCTCGTTACCGAACGACAAGGCAGGAGACGCACAGTTTGGAGGGGCCGATGCAATCATCATGGCAGAAAGCTCCACACCCTTTGCACATGATCATGGCTTTCAATCGGCAGTAACATTTTGAAGGCGTGTCCTCTATGCTGTTCTCTTCGGGAAAGGCCTGAACAGGAATGGTCTGGCCATGGCTGCTGGGATTCATAGCTTGGCTAGCAGGGATAGTAGTGACAGTCACTGAAAAGGACATGACATCACCTACGTTGCTAGATACCTGGCTACCTGGTACAGCAGAGTTATGGTCCATGTCAGATGAGGTGGAAACATTGATCATGCCTCTGTAGCTTGGCCCTATCTGTGTGGGGCTTCCATACAACTTTGGGGTTTGCAGTGGTGGAAGGAGTAGAGGCTGATGGGTGGGACTGTCTGCAGGTAGAGGAAGAGCAGAATTGAAAAGCTCAGGGCTGCTACGCATTGTCTTACCTCTCACTGCATGAGCCATTTGCTTCTGTGCTGCCTGAATTAAATCTCTGGCCAGCGTCTTTTCATCAAATGTTTGGCCTCTAGTGAACAGGTAATTCTCCTTGCTTAAAGTGGTTTGGTCATTCACTGATGTCTCGGCCTTCACATTCTTGTTAGCTAAGCAATCACCGGTGGACAAGGTTTCCCTACTGTGGGGTCCTGAACTTGTGTCCCATTTGCCAGAACTCTGGGAAACCTGGGGTTCCTCCTTTACCATGATGGACTCCTGCTCATCACCAGTACTTTCCTCATCAGTATCATCTTCTTTGCCACTGCTACTATCTCCTGTTGCATTTTTACAGTCTGTATATCCCATTTTCAAGGCTTCAGTGGGGCTACTCAGACAAAAACGGTCTTCAGGGTTTATAGAATGGGTCCTCCTAAAGCTTTCTGAACCCCGGCCATAGGTGGAAATATTAAGTAAATAGTGACCTGCCATTGCAGGCTTGGATGTCCTTCTGCCAGCAAAACCCAGCATGAACCTCTGGCTTGTGGAGATGTTTTCCAACTGGAAACCTGAGTGAGTGAAGTTGAACTGGGAAGGCGGCACAATTGAGAGAAGATTCTGCCTCCGAACCCTTTGGATGAGAGTCTGAAGGATCTGATCTTGGGTTGCTTTACTTAGTCCTTCTTGGTATTGGTGTGAGTCAATGCTGGAGTCCCTCAGCTCCTTAGCTGAAAAGAGCTGAAGGGGCCTTGGAAAAGGGAGCGGTTTACTTTGTAAGGTTTTACCCAGCTGCTGTGTAGCTGGATGGGCCTGGCGCTCATTAACTTCCTCTCTGGTGCTATTTTCTGTCATGCTGCTAGCCATGAGTGCTCCCATCCCCCTTTCCTCTTTTGTAGTCAGTGGAACAGTTTTCATTTCAACTTTGGTGAGAGGTTTAGGCAGAATTTGCTCCATGGGAACATCTTTGCCCTGGAGCAGCTGAGTAACTAAAGGATTATTAGCAGGGATATTAGAGCTTGATCTTGAAGTGGGTCCATTCATATTTGAAGAAGTTCCTGGGGTTTTAAGGCTAGAAGCTGCTGGCAAAGAGCTCAAGGATGGAGTTGATCCGGCAGGTGCTGTAGTTACACTAACCTGGGGTACCGGAAGCTTTTCTAAAGTGGCTGTGGTCAATAAAGATGTTAAAGGGGAGGGAGTCACAGCCACTGGTGCACTAGCATCTGTCTTTGCTGAGGCTAAAGAGTTTGGTGTATTCTTACTAGAACCAGCTTTGGGCTCAACTGTGCCATCAGCTGCAAAATGAACAGATGAGGCACCTGAGATTAGAGCAGGACCTATTGGAGGAGAAGATACTTTCTCCTGTCTGCAACTACTGGGCCCTTGTGGGTGGCTAAGAGAGGCCACTATGGCCGTTGCTCTGGTGGGGTTCAGTTTTTCATTATCTAATTTCTCTATGTGGGCTGGTGATGGGACATTTGTGCATGCTCCACTGATGGCAGGTGCTGGAGGCACTGAGGGGGTTTGCTGTAGTTGTGCTCCAGAGACACTATGAGGCTGTGCCTGGTCTGGGGTGGTCTTGGTCTCAGATTGGGGCTGAGTCTCTGGACCACAGGGTAAAAGCTCTCTCGTACCTCCCCTGCTTCCAGTTCCTGCCAGTTCCAGTGTGGGGCCTTTTCCAGTTCCACTGGCTCTGTCTGAGCCTGGACTGCCTCCTCTAGCAGCTTTCCCTTCACCACCCTCTCCTGGACCTTGTCCACCCCCTGGGCCAGGTCCTGGAATGGTCCCTCCAACTGAGGCGGCTGCAGCAGCTGCGGCAGCTGCAGCAGCTGCTGCCCTCTGTGCTTTGACCAGCTGGGCTTTTGCTTTGATGTCTGCGAGAGTTCTGGCGCCTGTTCTGTTAGGACTAATGATGGAGACTGGAAAACAAGCCCTGGGAGAGACCTGCGATGGATGAAACGGCATGGGGGAGATTCTGGAGACCGGGATCTGAAAGAAGTAGAGGGAAAAAAACCAGTTTAGTTTTCACTTACAAGAATAACTTAACCAGCCCTTACATTTTTAGAACACATGAACACTATAGCACCTGTGACAAACATGGGAGGTCTATGGCTGAGAGGTCAAACCTTGGAGACAGCAACAGTTAATGTCTCTAGCTTCCTTCCACCTTTTCTATTGGTACCAAAGAATTCCCTCCCTCCACTACCACCCTAAATCCCCACAACTCTTTCCTCAACACAACTATCTCCTAATGTCACGACTACTCACAACTGCTAATTAAGATATAGACCTTTTTATGGTATCTACATTTTTACAAAGTGTGTTTATGTTTGGGGAGGCAGAGAAAGAAGGAAGGAAGAGGAAAAGGAAAGAAAGAAAGAAAATTGTATCATTACTATCTTTTACTTCTTAGCTTTACTACCAAGGGGAATACTTGCTCTTCTTTCTTCTATGCACACAGTTATGTTAAGGTGAATTATCTCAAATTACAGAGGCTTCCAGATAGCACTAGAAGGAAGGCAGTGTGTGATCCACAGGTACACCCCACTATGTCCACCCACATAAGGGAGTATGTACATACTGTTTACCAGCCATTCTCACCCCTGGCTGGTATTATATTTACTTTTGTAACTTTTAAAAAATATATATGCTCTGGGTCCTATCCCAAAATATACAAATTAGGAGCCCTAGGAAAAAGTGTATTTCTAAGAAGCTACTTGTGAGATTTTGATGTACTATTAAGTTTGAAATCACTGATTTTCATACCATAAAAATACCATGTCTGAAATGAATTTGCCTCCTCTCCTAAACAATACTTTGATTCTCTGTGATTTAAAAGTTAGAGCTGTGGGATTTTTTAAAACAGATTTTACAAAGTCCATGTATTTAACATCAAGAAATGTACTTAATCTCTCTAAGAGCTAAATCTGTTTCATATCCAGTTCTAAGCCTAGATGCATATTTACTTAGGACATAGTGTTTAGAAGCTGCCCATAGTAAGAAAGAAGCAATCATTGTCCCATATTAATATCATTTGGAAGAGACTGCAAGGGAAAAACGGGAAAAAACACATAAAACTAAAAAAGTAAATACAAGAAAGTTGTTTAGGGGAATTTTATGTAGGGACAAAACCTAAGATTCCTCTTAAGAGTAATACCATACCTTGCATAATAACTAAAAATCATCAACATGTTGAAATCAAACAAAAACAATCACTGAAAGTGGTTTTAAAATAAAAAGATTTAGTACTTAAAAATAAGTTTCAGTCATTTATGTAAATAGCCCTATTATCCAATTATGCAGAATAAATTATACTTTCTAAGTAAAAAACCATTCCAAGTTGTCCAGGTACTAGTAACAATTTAACTTGCTGAGAAGCCCTACCCTGGCAGAGCAAAGTAATTAAATGCTTTTCTTTTTAAATGTCTAGTCATCCCTTGGTATTCATGGGGAATTGGTTCCAGGACCCCTATGGATACCAAAATCTGAGGATGCTCAAGTCCTTTATATAAAATAGTGCAGTATTTGCATCTAACCTATGTATACCTTCCTGTATATCTTAAATCATCTCCAGATTACTTATAATACATAATACAATGTAAATGCTATGCAAATATAGTTGTTATACTATAATTTTTATTTGTATTTTAAAACTGTTATATTGTTATTTTTTCTGAATATTTTTAATAGGTGGTTTAGTTGAATTCACAGATGCAGAACCCAATGATAGAGGGCCAGCTGCATACTGAATGTAAAACATATAATGTGCACGTGTGTATATAATTTTTATACACATATGCCTGTAACTAACTTACAACATTTGTACTAAATTTCAAGTTTGTTTTCTACTTAAATTTTGCTTAAAAGGTTTTATTTTGTTATAAATTACATTGAGCTTTGTCTAAGAAGGTAAGATTTGAAATAAAGGCTAAGGTAAGACAATTGTGAGAAGTAAAGTAGTACTCGACATGGGTCAAGTTCTAGGAAGGGAATATTTCCAAGGAATATTTCCTGATAGTACTAATTTTGGCTCATCTAAGTTAAATAAAAAGGGGGAAAAGTACTTTTATTGGGTCTATTTTTCTATTTGTATCCCAATGTGAATGAGCAGAACTCAGTACCTTAGGCTCTTGGTAAGCAAAATAGTTATCAATAAACATTATTCATAAAAAAGTATTAATGAATAAATACTATTTACAAAATGAGTGAACTACAAACTGGTATTAAGCACGGGCCCAAATATTAACAAATCTTAAAGATCAGGAGTAAAAATGTGTTTAGATTTTAAAGGGCTTTATATATTAAGATAGTCACAGATGCTGCCTAGAAGAATTTGAAAAATTTGACAGGTAGCAATATAAGGTTAAAGATAAGTTAATGACATATGCTAAGCAGCAGAGCTTAGCAAGACTATTCCATCTTACTAATGTCCTCAAGTAAACAGTGGTGACACAGTGACACAGGATAGTCACACACATTTCCTTAAATACGAAGGAGGTAAAGGTAGTGGTAGACCCACAGAATATCAAATCAGTTACAGTAGCAACAAAAGGGCCAAGGTACAAATACTAAGGCTCTTGGTACAAAGATAAGGTCTTTTGATCACACCAATGGCTTCCTCATGCTTAGTCTAGTACTTATTTTGTCATATAAGACAACAATTTCCATAACTGTCTTAAGATACAAGAATAGTGAGCACAGGAGTGGTTTACATTAGATACCCAGGTACCTTCCTTATCAATCAATAAAAATCTGTAGGACTGCAGTTCTAAATGCCTATTTGTCAGTAATTTTATTCCTATAAGACCACAGTTACATGATTATCAAATATATACAACTGCTTCTGCATTAAGAAATACCACAAATTACTTGAAATTCAGTAGGTATGACCAAAACGTAGTGTGTGCACAATCTCTACGCAATCTCTCCTTTTCAGTTCTCCCCACTCTCTTACCTTGAGAGGTGGTACTTTTCGCACCTGGACCCTTTCTCTACTGAGAAAGGGCTGTGGCGAGACCTGAAATGGCTGCTGGTGCTGGCAATTCTCAGTGACACGTGGCCTCTTCTCCCAGCTCACAGGGGCCTCTTCTTGGGTGAGAGAAGATTTCCTCTTGAGGCTTTCTGGGCTCTGATCAACAAGAGTTGCTGGAGGTTCTTTCATAGTGCTCTCCCGTGGACCTGCTTCTGCTGTAGGTTTCATTATTGGCTTTTCCACCTCAGGACTCTTGGGTTTGCTTGGGGATATAATCAAAGATTCTTGGCTTTCGTTTTTCTTATAACTAGAAGCTGTAGTGAGATGACTCTCTTTCTCAGATTCCTGTGCAGCAGAGGCAACTGGCTTCTGCTCCAAGAGACCCTCATCCTTTGGGCACTTGATGGGAAGAATGCTACTAAGCTCATGTGTATTACTGGCGGAGGGAAGTGGGGGCTCTGTGGATTTGGAGAAGTTTGGCTGCACCTTGTCTGGGCTTTCGTGCTCTTCTTGTCTGCCTGCTGATGGCATTTGCAATACTGCCTCTGTACACTCTGACTGAGGGACTACTGGGACTATTCTGACAGGAGAGGCCTCTGAAGGAAGCATGGATTTTGGTTGCTCAGCTGGGGTTTTCTTTACTTTGGGATCATTGGGAGATGCTGTCAATTTCTTTGAATCTTCAAGGCTCAGGCCAGAACTAAAAAGGGAGGGAAAAAAATATTCTAGTAGAGAAATGACTCATGTTATTGAAGGCATTACAAAGTAACAGAATATGACAATGCCTAGGAGAACACCTGACACATAACAGGTCTCCTTCATGCATTATCTTCTATTGTTATTAGCAGTGAAGGTTCTGGAGCCACCATGCCTGGATTCAAATTCTAGCTCTGATATCAACTGTCCATGTGATGTTAAGCAAATGACTAGCCTCTGTATCTCAGTTTCTTCAACTGTACATTAGGGTTAATTATTACATAGTGCTGCTATGATGATTAAGTTAAGCCATGTCAACTACTTACCTTGATGAAAGCTCAAAAATGGTAGTAATTATTACTTCTGCTTATAAAGGGCCCACACTGTCTAAGGGCATGCATCACAGATTATCTATAAGGGAACTAAAGGAAGGCCAAGACCCATCCACCCTGGGATTGTGATCTACTCTGTAGTATCTGTGGAAAGGCTGGCCCAAGAAATCTAAGGGGACCTGAGGAGATAGGAGGACACTGGCTATCAATACTCTTCAAAGGTCAAAAATTATAATTGAGTTTTTAGAAAGCCTGTTTAAATTCCACTTGGCCTAGCTCTAAAATTCTGAGTCTCTCTGAGCTATCCGGGGGATGTAGGCCACTTGGGACTTCTATAGTATGGTCTGTCAAAAAGCTAGACTCATTTGTAAGGGTCACTAGCGACTCTTCTTAACATTTTAGAATATCATATAATAGGCAAAATCAATGCAGCCCCCTTTGGTGACTTCAAAAAATCAATACTGTACCTCTTGAGATGGAATGGCTAAGGACAAAACTGGGCAGTAATTAAAAATAGCTGAAAACAGACCCAAAAGCTTTGTGATGCTCTGTTTAAAAAGGAGGGATAAACATTTATAGAATTATTGCTACCTGTACTAATGGTCTAAATACATGCAACATCACTTCTATAGCTCAATGCTTACATCAAGAATATAGAAAAATCAGCTTATGAGATTCTCAATAAGGATCTTTCCTGAATGACTGTGAAGGGGATCGATAAACAGCACTTGGAGACAAAGAAAAGGGGCCCTTAGTTCTCCAGCTGCGGTTATATTACAGAATCTCTTTAAAGGCTTCCCCTTGGTGTGCAGAAAGAGGAAGGGAGACAAACAAGTAGAAGCCTGAGTGTTCAATCCTATTTCAAATAAAACAACTTCATGATAATCATTTAAATATCCCCATTATGATTTTATTTGGATTTCTTAGGAAAAAAGATTAGACTACAGCCCCTTTAAAACAGAGTTTGTATCCTGATCCAGCTATGTACATTTTCCAGGTGTCTTTTATAGAGGAGAGCCTGTTTAATTACATGTTGAGTATAATGGTCCATATTATAGGATTCCTGGGATGCTTTAGTGATTCTGGATAGTTATATTTGTGATAACCATAAAAAATGGACAGAACTTTAGTATTCTTTTATCTTATAAAGTTACTAGAAGAAAAGCCAACCTATTTAAAAAAGGGACTCTTAATTCAAGATTAGAAAAAATTTTTTAAAAAGAAACCATTCCATACACAGTAATAGTATGTTATGGGTCAAGGAGTATGAGTAATCCAATTCTGTGTACCTGTGATTCATAAGAAAAAATCCTTCTCTCTAAAGTAGAATTGGTAAAATAAAAAAAGAAGGAAATCAAGGACTGTACCTCCTGTTAAGGTAATGAGATAAAGCATCACTTTATCTGCATGACATACATGCAGGAATTAGCATCTGGTTTACAGTGCCTGTCTTAATGTTATTACCTCTGACCATAGTAGCTTTCAAAGAATTGTTCCTTCCATGGCTCCACTTTTTTCTCCTTCTCAATCTCTTGTCGAATTCTCACCTGCATCTCAGGTGTAAACTCACCTATAATATACCCAAAAAAGGATAATCAATAGAAAAATGCTAATTGCAATGTTTAACTATTTATAAATCATGAAAGACTCATGCAAGAATCAGAATACTATCATGTGAAAGTAACAGAAACTTCCCAAAGCTCCTCAATGTGAAGGAGGACCTAAATGCCATTAGGTGAAATAAAAATATGCTTGCACACCACTCCATGTAGTTTTCAGTGCTCAGCTGAGGCTGACAGAGTCTTTTCTCTGCACTTTCCCTGTAGCACTTCCCTCCTGCTCCAAACATCACATTCCACACAGATTTCTTTTAACTTTGAATTTCTATTAATAATTTATTTTCCACTGGGGAAAAAAAGTGATGTGCTTTCAGTAAGTAATGCTACCAGGCATTTTATTAAAGTTCTGCTTCTCCAAGGTAAATTGTATTTTAGGCCTTTTACCTCTACCTGCACAATGAAAAGCTATGGCCCTGCTTTTTAATGATTCCAATAAAAAAGGCAGAGTGATTCTGGAGTTCTCAGTTTCCTATTCGTTCCAGAAACGGTGCCAGTCTAGTGCCCCTAGCAACAAGATACTGACATGCCAAAGACCCAGCTGCTCTAAATATGCCATTTATTTGCACATACTACCAACCACCTCAATCCTTCCCACTCCATCAGCAGAGAACAGTGAATGTGCTTGGTAGGCCATCTTCAAACTTGTGGCTCAGATAGGCTGCTCCCTTTTATACTCTAATACCCAGGACATCAGGGAATAAGAGGTAGAAATGGCAGAATTTGAAGTTTAAGACCTCCTGGGGGTGAGAAGAAGGAAAGGAAAAAATGTTAGAGGACTGTGGACATCACAGTCGTGGGCAAAGGATTAGGAAAAGAGGATGGATCTGGCTGTCAGAATCCAACTCAGAACTTTTGCTGTTGAGTCTACTGTGCATCATAGAATGAAGAATAAAACGTATTGAACTCTGTTCACTTATGTACGTGTTTAAAGTTTTTGTTGCTCAAAAATAAAATCACATAACTATAGGTATAGTACATCACTTACATGTAAAAAGGAGTAACACTGATGCACAGTATCATTGTTGATAGTACCTACTTACAAAAAAGTGGGTTTTTTTAATTACAAAAAAGTTGGGAAATAAATCCTTTATACCTATTTATTCATAAAGTAAGGTACTGGTAACTGGTATATTTTAAAGTGCTTATATGATTTCAATTCATTCAGAAAAAAGGGATCTCTTTACAGATTGCCCAAGGAAATCTGTAAGAAAGAGAAAGGACCAAAGTAATCAGCAGGAGATTCCTTCTACACAGAATTTGCTCTAAAAGAAGAGGATGGAAAAAGTCAACAATTTATGGTGAACTATACAGATATTAGCTGGTCATTTAATTGTCAGGTATGTGACAGAAAGTAAGCAATGAACAGCATTTCTAATGCGCTCCTTACAAATGCATTTATTTTAAAGATTTTTCACACTTGTTTCAAGCTATTCTTTGGCATAACTATATATGGTTTTTCAAGTGTTATTTTATATCCCATGTATACTGAAAAACAGATGTAATATTTAAACTAAAAATAATACAGCCAGTGGTTTTACTTATGGCTGTATATTAGAATCACATGGGAAAATGTTGGGGGGAAAAAAAAACCCAAACACTAAAATTCAGGCACCAATCTAGACTAATTAAAACAAAATCATTGACAATGGTGCCTGGATATCAGTATTTTTAAAACAACATAGTGTTTCTGAGCAGCTAGGATTAAGAACTGCTAATATTGACAGATACTACATGCAGTGCTAACACAGTAACTTTTTTATATTTTATAATATGTCCTTGGTAAATTGTTAAATCAGCATTAGAAGCATGGCACACATGGCAGACAAGTGACTACCATCAAGCACTTCTCAGTTATGATCTATTTCATTAAAATGTTCTATCAATTAACTTCAAATGGGTGAATTTTATAATATGTGAAATACATCTCAACAAAGTTGTTGTTTCTTTTTTAAGAAGTTCTCACTGGTTCCTTTTACTGTTAGTTTTCTTGGGGTTGGGCAGCAATAAAGACGCTACTTCACTGCCTGCTTAGCTGGGATTCATAGTACCATAAAATAACTAATTCTATACTCTGCCTAATTATTAGGGAGTTTATTAAAATTTCAATTCCTAGGCAATCTAATATAGAATTCAGTAATCTAGAACCACTGAATCAGAATTTTTAGGTGTAGGGCATAAAAAATCTGTATTTTTTAGTTTTTCACAGTTGAGTTTAAATCATTAAAGAAACATTGCTAGACTCCATCTGGAGTCAACCTGGTTGCACAGGTTCCAGATAAAAGTCTAGCAATGTGTTTCACACAGGATAGGCAACTTGACCCTATGGAAACACACTGTCCTTTACCTTCCAAAATTGCTCAAATATTAGATGAGGTAGAGAGGGCCAATATGCTTGTACAGTGGCTTCGAGTGCTCACACATCCTGCAAGATACGTGAGGTAGAACACTTACCTTCTGAAAGTCTTTCCTTCCACCCTTGGGCTGCTGAAGTGAAGAACTCATTGTTAAGAGCTGAGCCATTTAACTTCATCAAACCATCTGGACCAACCTGAGTTAAAGAATAAGCCAAGGAAAGCTTACAAAGAAAGAGAAAGGTATCATGTGGTACTTGGCTTTCTGTTAATTTTAGAAAAGACTGTATGTACATTTAATTTTATAGACACATAAGTATCTCATATCATGCTGCTTATTCTGGACACCTCTATTTTTAATGTAATATAATATCATTTTGTTCTAAAACATTCTTTTCCTTTTTACCTCTCTTCCCTCTTTCTCCTTTCAACTCTATTCCACAATAATTAAAAACCTGCTCACAGAACTACACATAAATATATTTGTAATAGTATTTTTCTTATTTCCTGACAGTTTATTGTTTTATTACATAAAAGTGGGACTAAGTCATATATACTGCTCTGTATCTTAATTTTCTCACAGAATATACCATGAAAGTCTCTCTAAGTCAAATGGCATAATTTCAGCCACTTTGTAACGGTTGCAAATTCACTATAGGAATGTAACTCAGTTAATTCATCATTTCCCTAACAATAGCCATATACTTTGTTTTAATGTTTTCCTATCAAAAAAGGTGTCAATAAGTATCCTGGTAGAGATGAATACACTAGTGCTTGTATTTCTAAGGGATACATCTGCAGAACAAAGAATATTTGTGTGTATATTCGACGTTGTCAAATTACTTTCCAAAAAGGCTAAAAAGAATGACATTTCTACAGGAATGTACGTGCAAACTCATTTTCCTAACAACATTATATGTTAACATGCTATTTAATTTTTAACAATCTAATGGGTTTGAAATGGTAAAACTTTTCTTGACTACTAGAGTGTGGATCATTTTGTATGTTTATTGAATATTTAGATTTGCTATCTTGTGAACTGGCAATTCCTATAATTTTCTATTTTCTGAAAAAACGTTGATGGGAAAACTTAATAAAATCACTATTCTCCCCAACATCAATATCTACATTTCTATCAGAAACCTCAGATTTTTCATGAAATGAAGGAAACAATATTAAAATTTATATGGAGGCTGGGTGTGGTGGCTCACGCCTGGAATCCTAGCACTCTAGGAGGCCGAGGCAGGAGGATTGTTTGAGCTCAGGAGTTTGAAACTGGCCTGAGCAAGAGCGAGACCATTTCTCTGCTAAAAATAGAAATAAATTAGCTGGACAACTAAAAATATATAGGAAAAAAATTAGCTGGGCATGGTGGCGCATGCCTATAGTCCCACCTACTCAAGGAGGCTGAGGCAGAAGGATTGCTTAAGCCGAGGAGTTTGAGGTTGCTGTGAGCTAGGCTGACGCCACGGCACTCTGGCCTGGGCAACAGAGCAACACTCTGTCTCAAAAAAAAAAAAAAAAAAAATTATATGGAAAAAAATAAGAAAAATTGGGAGGGGAATTGACTTTTCAATTATTACACATAGCAAACAAAGTCATTGTAATCAAAACTCCAATATTACTGGCATTAGAGTAAACAAAGTAATGTGTGGAAGAGGAGAAACCACCTGTAAGTATATGCTACATATATAGAATATACACAGAACACATAACAAAGATGGCATTTCAAATAGTGAGAAAAAGATGCATATATAAATATGCATAGTGCTGGAACAACTGGCTATCTACCCAGGAGAAAATAAAGTTGAACTCTGCATTCAGATAATATAAAAAAAAAAAGATGAATTAAAAACCTAAATGAGGCCGGGCGTGGTGGCTCACACCTGTAATCCTAGCACTCTGGGAGGCCGAGGCAGGCGGATTGCTCGAGGTCAGGAGTTCAAAACCAGCCTGAGCAAGAGGGAGACCCCGTCTCTATTATAAATACAAAGAAATTAATTGGCCAACTAATATATGTAGAAAAAAATTAGCCGGGCATGGTGGCGCATGCCTGTAGTCCCAGCTACTCTGGAGGCTGAGGCAGGAGGATGGCTTGAGCCCAGGAGTTTGAGGTTGCTGTGAGCTAGGCTGACGCCACGGCACTCACTCTAGCCCAGGCAACAAAGCGAGACTCTGTTTCAAAAAAAAAAACAAACCTAAATATAAATTTTAACTCAAAAACAATTTTTTGAAGAAAATTTTGGAAACTACTTACTTGGGCATACTGGGGATTGAGGAACTCTTCTTAACTCACTTCACTTTTCAAACCTATTTGGGCCAACATTATTTTCCCTGGCTCTACAGCAGAAATTGATACACTTTCTATAGAGGGACAGACTGCAAATACTGTAGGCTTTGTAGACCATTATGGTCTCTGTTTCAGCTAGTCAACTCGGCCACTGTAAGCACAAAAGTAGCTATGGACATATGTAAACTAATAGGAGTGGCTATATTCCAATAAAACATTATTTACAAAAAGAGGCACGGGATGGAAACTGCCCAGTGGGTTGTATGTAGTTTGCTGCTGATTAGCACGTTAGAGTCGGTACAGAGTTAACAGGCTTCCCTATGAGAGCAGTTCATCCAACGTCTATTGGAACAGTCAAGTGATGAGCAAGTTACTCCATTGCAAGTCAATCCATTCCACAGTTTAATCCTCCAACTGTTAAAAAGTTATTATTTTAATGCCAAATCTGCTTTCTGGAGAAACAAAGTTTACCTATTCCATATGATGGACCTTCAACTAAACTGGGAGAGAGATTTTCTAATCCAAACTTTTTGTGTCTGTCTCTGGTCTAAATATTTTTCTAATGTTCATTGCTATATACATCATCAACTAAAGTGTGGGTTCCAAGTTTTCATCCTAGTGACAATCAGAATTCTTTACTCTCTAATTTTCATCTGACAGTGAAGTTGTACTTCACTTTATTGTCCTATACATAAGGACAATATTGCTCAGGTTACCTGCTCAGGTTACCAGGTTACCCCCTTTACCTTATTCCTGACCAAGCTAAATCTCTCTAGTCCCCCTGCCTTGACTCTTCCCAAACCTTTGGTATTACTTCTTCGTACTATTTTTTTTTTTTTGAGACAAGATCTTGCTCTGTTGCCTAGGCTACAGTGCAGTGGTGTCATCATAGCTCACTGCAACCTCAAACTCCTGGGCTCAATCAATCTGCCTCAGCCTCCCGAGTAGCTGAGACTACAGGTGTGCACCACTACATCCAGCTAATTTTTCTACTTTTTTGTAGAGACAGGGTTTCACTCTGGCTCAGACTGGTCTCAAGTGATCCTCTCATCTCAGCCTCCCAAAATGCTGGGATTATAGGTGTGAGCCACTACACCTGACCTACTTTTTTTTTTAAGTATAACTTATATTGGATTTTAAGTTCTTTATTACAAAAACAATAAATCTTTCAGAAAAAATTAACAAAAGAATAAAAATAACGGACACTCTTAATTCCACAACTGTTATTCATGTTGTATGTCCTTACAAATGTATCCATGTTTTTGGCTTATTCCTGACTTTTCCCACTCCATGGATGCACTGGCCCAAATCCTGGACCAAGACAACTCTTCCTCCTAAACTATATTCTACGAATGCCTACATCCTTATATGATAGCTAGTCATATTTATGACATCATCTTGACATGGTGGTAAGAGAGTGGCCTTTTTTTCTTTTTAAGTCTTACAAAGGCTACCTATTAAGACACTTACATTAAATTATTCTTATTTCTTGTTTAGTATCATAAATACCACTTCTTTTTTTTTTTTTTTTTTTTTTTGATTAAATGCAATCCCAGTGAAAATCCCAGTGGACAAGTTCGCTTTTTGCCAGTAGAGTGAGTGCCATGGCATCAGCCTAGCTGACAGCAACCTCAAACTCCTGGGCTCAAGCAATCCTCTCCCTCAGCTCCCAAGTAGCTGGGACACAGGCATGCGCCACATGCCCGGCTAATTTTTCTATATATATTAGTTGGCCAATTAATTTGTTTCTATTTATAGTAGAGACGGGTCTTGCTCTTGCTCAGCTGGTTTTGAACTCCTGACCTTGAGCAATCGCCGCCTTGGCCTCCAGAGTGCTAGGATTACAGCGGAGCCACCGCGCCCGGCCAAATACCACTTCTTTACAGATATAAATAAAAACTATTAAAAATCTTAAGGAGTTGTAAAGGTATGAGTGAAGCAAGCCCCTGAAGAGTCATAAAATTTCTTATGCTTGAAATGACGCACCTGTCGATCCACCTCTGGGAGTGTAAAAGCAGTCGCTGTTGGCAATCTCCAGGAAAACTGAAAATGTGTGTTTGTGATCAGCGCTCGCAGATTTGTATTAACCAGAATGGAGTCTGGTGTCTCAACATCAATGTCAGCACATTTAGTCCTTTTCATTTGTCCTGCAAAATATGGAAAAGAATCATTTCAGTTTCCTCACGTCCTGTTTTACCTAAACTACAGCTTTCTGTGCATACAAAAAAAACCAGTTATAAGCTTATATATCACACTTTGAGGAAGGTAACACGTAAATATCTTAGAATTTATTTTAAAAACAAAAAAGTTTTGTTGATTTATGAAGGTTAAAATAATATAATTTATCTTCTCTGTAAAAAATAGAACAAGTTCTGTAAAAAAATGGATCTTCTGCCATACTAAAACTGCATTTTATGTTTGAGACTAGTTATTTTCAAAAAAATGAGCAAGTTTAGATAAATGACACATACAGAGAATTCTAAAAAAAATAAAACCCAAATCTACAAATCAATCACGCGCTTTTCCTCTTTCTGTGAGAATTTTTCACTAATTTGCATTAGCTAAAATATTATGATTGAATGGCTTAACACTTTCAGGAAATCTGTCCCAACCAGGTTATAGTCTTTCCAAAAACTGACTGATTTGAATATACAAGAATTAAAATGTAAATGAAAATATGAAAATGAATGAATACACACACACACAAGACTAACTTGGAAAAAACATTTGCAAGCAATGGCAAACAGTTACTATTCTTCATATGAAAAGTACATTATACCACCAAGAGAAACATGAGCAAAGGAATTAATAGGTAATTCTTAGTCCACTAACCAAAGTAGATGCTAAGATATTAATATTTTAAAATGTAAATTAAACCATGAATAAAAAATATTTTTGCCTATCAAA